AGGTATAACAGTGATAAGCAATAAACCACATTTATAAAGGATTGGCCAAAAGGAAATGTGTAGGTATATATTACTATGGTTGGTAATTGTGTGCACTCACATTTTTAACTGGTCATCTGATATTGCTTTGATGAACAACCTAAGTCTTGACAAGTTTGAGCACAAACTGTGATGGGTCACTGCCACATCCACAGTTACCTAAGATAACTGAGATCTTGAGAAATTTTATGTTTTACAAATGCAGCTGTACAAAAAGGACATCACTTCATTTACTGAGGAAGTTTCAGCATTTTTTTGTACACATACAATGCTTGCACACAAAGTTAATATTGTGATAATGCACTTTTGTGTAGACGGATTTGCGAAAAATGCAAAAAACGAATTAGAACTCTCTGGAAGTCTCTATACAACTTACAACTCCAGTATACCATAGTAAAATATTATTTTAAATGCTGCTAATGTAAAATAGTTGAAAAACAACAACAAAAGAAGAGGAAGAAAAAAACTGAAACCACTCACATCCCTGTTGGCCATCTGTATGTGTTCTTTTGGGAACTTTCAATTCAGATCCTTTGTACATCTTTAATCAGGTCACTTCTTTTTGGCTACTGATTTATTTCAGTTTCTTGTATATTTTGGATATTAGCACCTTCTCAGATACATGGTTTAAAAGTATTTTTATTAACCCATAGATTGCTTGTTCACTTGATTGATTGTTTTTATACTGTGCACAAAATTTTTAATTTCATGCAATCCCTCTTTTCTAGTTTTGCTTTTGTTACCTGTGCTTTGGGTTCATGACCAAAAAATTATTGTGAAGACCAATGTTAAGAAACATATTCCCTATGTATTCTTTTAGTAGTTTTACAATTTCAGGTCTTACATTACAGTATTTAAATCACTTTGAATTGATTTTTGTATGTGGTGTGGGATAAGTGTCTAATTATATTCTTCTGCATGTGGATATTCAGAGACTGTCCTTTCCTCATTGTGTATTCCTTCAATCCATGACTAGATATATGGATTTATTTCTGGATTTTCTATTCTCTTTGATTGGCTTTTATATCTGTTTTTATGCCAGTATCATACTGGTTTAATTACTGTGGCTTTATAATATTTTGAAGTCAGGCAATATGAGACCTCCATTTTTGTTCATCTTGCACAAGATTGTTTTGGCTATTCAAGGTCTTTGTGGTTCCATCGGAATGTTATTGTTATTTCTGTAAAAAATGCTATTGGGTTTGATAGCAATTGAATTGAGTCTGTAGGTCACTTTGGGTAATATGGACATTTTAAAAATACCTGAGTTTTCCAATCCATGAACACAGGATTTCTTTCTATATCTTCTTTGTTTTTTTATAGGTCTCTTTTCTGTGTCTTCTGTATTTCCTTTATCAATGTTTTATAATTCTCAGTGTATGGTCTTTCACCTCTTTGATAAGTTTACTCCTGAGTATCTTATTATTTTTGTTGCTATTATCAATGGGATTGTTTTCTTCATTTTCTTTTTTGTGTAGTTCATTGTTTATATATAGAAATGTTAGCTGATTATTGCCTGTTCCCTTTTTATCCTGCAACTTTATTGAATCCATTTATTAGTTCTAAGAGATTTTTGTGGATTATCTAGGAATGTCTACATATATGCCATCTGCAAGAAGAGATAATTTTCTTTCTCTCCAATTTGAACGCCTTTTATTTATTTTTTCTTATGGTACTATGATGAAAATAAATGGTAGAAATGGGCGTCTTTGTCTTGTATTGTGTCTTAGAGGCAAAGTTTCTCATATTTTTTCATTGATTATGATATTGGCTGTGGGTTTTTGATTTGATGGTCTTTATTGTGTAAAGTAAATTGAAGTAAATTTATTTTACACCCATTTTCTTGAGAATTTTAATCATGATGGAAGTTAAACTTTGGCAAATGCTTTTTCTCTGTTGAGATGACTTTTTTTTTGGTAATATGGTATATTACACTGATTTATTTTTGTATGTTGAACCATCCTTGTACTATAGGGGTAAATCTCACATGGTCATGGTGTATAATTGTTTTAATTTGTTGTTATATTTGCTTTGCTGGTATTTTATTTATGATTTTTGCATTTACGTTCACTAGGGATATTGGCCTATAGTTTTATTTCCTTGTACTGTCTTTGTATACTTTGAGTATTAAGTTGATGCTGGCCTCATAAAGTGTGTTTGGAAGTGTTCCCTCTTGTATTTTTTGCAAGAGTTTCTGAGTTGGTAGTAATTCATCTTTGAATGTTTGGTTTAATTCCACCATGAAACCACCTGGTCCTGGGCTTTTCTTTGTTGGGAGGTTTTTCATTACTAATCTAATCTTGTTTTTCTACTGGTGTGTTTAGCCTTTCTATTTCATCTTGATTCAGTTTTGCTAGCTTGTATATTTCTAGGATTTTATTCATTTCTTCTAGGTTATCCGATTTGTTGGTATATAACTGTTCATAATAGTCTTTTATGGTCCTTTTATTTTTGAGGCATCTGTTGTAATGTTTTCACTTGCATTTCTGATTTTATTTATTTGACTTCCCTTTTTTGCTTATTCTAGCTAATGGTTTTTCAATTTTGTTTATTTTTTTTAAGAAAACAACTCTTAGTTTTGATGGTTTCTAGTTGTTTATTGTTTATTTATTCCTACTCTTATAGTCCTTCTTTCTGCAAACTATAGGATTATTCTTTTTGTAGTTCCTTGAGGTATAAAGTTAAGAAGTTTTTTTTTTTCAGGTATTTATTAATTTAATGTGAGTATTTATTGTTCTGAGTTTTCCTCTTACTACTGCTTTTGCTGCATCCCAGAAGTTTTGGTAAAACGTGTATATAAGTTGGTTGTTTTGTGAGCACTGAGAAAATTATGTAACGATAGACACTAAGTCATTAGTCTTGGCTGTTAATCTTGACAGTTCAAACTAGAGGCAGCAGTGTTGGGAAGCAATCTATTAACTTTTGCATCATGCATCTCTTATTAAAAATAGCGCTGTTATCTTCATATTTAAAAAAATGTAATTCCTAATGAAATTACACAAAATTAAATGGATGAAGGGCTATCTTTCTTAACTTCCAAACTCTACATACAAATGAGAAGATTAAAGCTATTTTGGACACTTTATGTAGAGTAGGTTCACATAGATCAAAAATATGTTATCCCCGATGACTCTTGAGAAACGATTTTCAGCCAACATACACCAAATATCTTTAAAAGCAAGAATGGAATGAAAATCGGAAAATCAAAGATTGGTTACTTATTTCAAAATGCCCAGTTATCACAGACTTTGTGTGTTCTAACACATCAACTCTTCCTCTGTTGTACTGTAGGCTCCATTATGGCTGGATTTTCTATTTTGCTACTGCAATGCAAAACTTAGTGCCTGACATATAGAGAACAGTTAATAAATTCTTAGTAAATGAGTTAATTAATAAATGTTCGTTTTAACTGCCCATTTAAAAAATAGCAGTTAAAGAGTTGAATATTTCATTAATTTCTCTGTCCTGGGATATCTTATAATTTATTCCAGTTTACAGAACATCTTATCATTACCTCTGCTCAGCCTGTGATCATGTAGCACTATTATTATTTTTTAGTACATCTGTCTCCCCAGTAGGACTGTGAGTCACTCAGGAATAAAATCTGATTTCTATTCTTTTTTTCTTTATCCCACAGAGCAACAAATTCAGTATATTCTATTTGAGTAAATACAGTAATTAAAATTTTTTTAGAGTATTCCCTCTAATAGCATGACTCCAACAATAATTTTACTTCACAAAAACACAGTTCATTGATTCTACTGTTCACTATTCTTTTGATATTACTTTAATCCCATGCTCATCTTGTCATAATCACTTCAGTTATTCTTTTGCATACACCTTCAACTTAATTTTTCCTGCTTCTCTTTGAAATTTGCATATACTCTCTCTACATTATCCCTATGGGACCCTTTTAATTCATAAGACTTTAAATGCCATATATGTGCTGATGACTTGAATATTCACATATCTTGGCTGAATTTTTCTCTGAAATTCAAACTCATATATCCAACTGCTTACACTCCATCTCCACTTGATGGCCATGGTCATCTCAAACATAGCTTGTCCAATACTAAAATTATTCTTTATCTTCACTCCACACCTTCTCCTCTTAAACTCAGTGTTCCCCATCTTAGTAAACAGCAATTCTGTCCTTCCAGTTACTCAGTTGAATCACAACTTCTTTCTTTCTCTCACGCCTTATTTCTAATTCATTGGCTAGTCTGACTGGAGCTAAAGGCAAAACATATCCGTTATCCAAACTCTTCTCCTTATTTTTATTCTATAATCTTGATCCAAGCCGCCATTGCCTCTCACCTAACTACATGTAAGCTCCCCCTTTTGCTACATCCTGCCTTCCTCCACTCCGATTCTCAGTATAGCATTGGAGCAATTCTGTTGAAACTCAAGTTAAATCATGCCACGCCTCTTCTCAAACCCTGCAGTAGCCTCCCATCTCATGTAGTTAATATGGCTACTTGATATCTCTTTGACCTTACTTCATATTTATACTTCTTTCTTCCCTTGCTTACTCAAATCCAACCATGTTTGGGCTGATTCCACTTGCATAGTGGGAGTAAAATTTCAGCTTAAATGAATCAATGCTGATTTATGGGAGGAGATAAATCAGTCTTCAATATAATCGAAGCTGTGCTGGATTTTATCGGAAGAAGACTTATACCAACAAGACTTATAGCAGTCACCTCAGAAACTTTTTCTTAGGGGCCACAAAGGTCTTCAACAATGAAAATTATGTTCCTTAATCTAAGGGTATGAAAGAATAAATCCAGGAGGTGTGCATATATATCTTTTACTGATTTTTTTTGTGTGAAACATTTTTATTAAAAAAGTAATTATATTTTCTAGAATATAGTTATACATAGCCACTGGAAGTTGATTAATTGAAATTTGGAAATGATAGCTATAATTTTTGAATGTTAATTTTTGAATTTTTTGTTTAGGCCAAAATTTTCAGTCACAACAGAATTCATCTTGAGATTCAATCAAACACAAAATTCCAAAGAGAAGGAAGAATTGTTGGAACTAGCTAGAAAAATCATTATCAGATGTAAGGTAATGGCACATCATTTGATTATTCAGCCTGTTAACTTCCTTTTCTAGTTGGTACCTGATTACATATTCTAAAATATTGTAAGAAAAAATAAGAATACATCTTTCTTTAATTATAAGTAGGGATAGGTAAATTCTTAATGCAAATTAAACTTAAAGCTTATAACCAAATAATAAAAGCTCCCTGTAAATTTTGTGGGAATATAATTCTTGATACCCATCCAGGAGCCCATAGCTAAACGTTAGTCTGGCAAATAAATTTTTCATTATGAAAATTCTATTTTTTCTTTAAAAAGTTAATTGAGATAGTCTGTGTCCCAAAGGGAGAAAGGGCCTTTCTAAACAATTATATACATGAATAAAGTATGCTTTTCTTTCTTTGTCACAAACTATTCTTCACTTAACTTGTGAAAAATGTTCTTTAAGAGTATAATGTTAATCCCCAAATTTATAAATAGATATCAAAACAGAACAGGAAGTAAAGTAAGTCCTTGCTTTGCCTTGTCTACACTGGATTCAGTTTAAGTTTTACAGAGAAGTAACATGCACATTTTGCTTTGATATAAATAATTCATTAAATAAAAGCTGCACAAAACTGGTGCATAAACTAAGCAACCTTTGTTTGTGTTGTTATAGTGGTTATTTTCCAGTTCATGGCTGCCCATATTGAAAAACATTTGATTATTAAAAGAGTATACTTTTGATAAGTGTGTTTGCAGACAGGTGCCAGGAAGTGCATTCATCAATGAGCTTTTCTCCAATTGACCAAGTGGTCCTTGCAACAGTCCCAGGAGTGGGCACAATAAGGGAAGTGGAGTAATCCTGATCATCTTCCTTATGTTCACTAACTTTTGTACATCAACAATGAAGTAGCTATGATTTTCCAGCAAGCTAACATCAAACTCACTTCTGTTTTATCAAATTTCTTCAGTGCTTTGCGTTATAAAATTTAAAAAAATGCATTCCCTTGGGGGGAAATGAGAAGTAATCACCAGAAAGTAAAAAATGAGAATTGTTTTCAGCAAATAGCTAATGATATTAGTCATAATATCAACATTTTCTACATCTTAACACTAATACAGTTTGCATAAAATCTCTAAAAATTCGAGTAATACAAGCAAAAATATTGCATCCAACTCTGACCACTAAGCATTAGCTTCATAGAATGACCTTTGGAACACAGTTAAGAGGTAAAAATAAATAAATAAATAAAAAGATGTACATTTTGATTTGTCTTTTTCATGCTTCCTCATAACAGAGAAAATTGGGTCTCAAAACCTTGGGCTCTGGGAAGCATGTTCATCTTCCTGCTGCCTGGACTGAAGTAATATATCTGGCTCAGTGCAAAGGGGAAATCCAAGATGGTATGTACTTTAAATTCATATTAGGTATCCTAAGTATTTTCTAGACTCTCAGTGAGGGCAAAATTTGAGAACTTTAATTTTTAGAAATTGTACAGAAGACAAGAAAAGTTTTCCACTCTCTATTAAAATGCATTTTATTATGAAAATTCATTTTATAATATTGAATTTATGAATTTAACTACTTAGCTTTTTAGTTACAAAATTGTTTTAAAAACTTTTACTCAGCATAGCTTTTATTACCTTTTGCCAAAATTAGCAACTAATTAAAAAGTAATATAAAATGTCATTTAATGAATTCCAATTACAATAGGCACTAGAATTTAGAGAAATTTGTTTCTGCATTTTATAATTCCTCCTTATAAAACACTAATCAAATGACCATTTGTTTTCCACTTATTTAAAATAGCAGCTTTACTCATTACCTTTTCATTTCTCACTCCTTATTTATGCCTCCTTTCAAACATCCTCTAACTGATCTAAAAAGAAAATTAAACAACATTATTTTTAAGGGAGTAAAATTACTTCTACCACTATCGTTAAGTTTTATATATATATATATATGCCTTTTAAAATACTTTTAGAGTGTTAACCACATGAGGTCAGAGAGAATTTCCCCATGTAAATTAGTTTTGTGTTGATGCCTAGGAGTTTTCAAGCAATAGGAAGAGTAAGAAGTATTTGTATTTAACTTGCCTTTATGGTCCTTCATCACAGTGTGCCATCCACAGCCTGACCTTTATTAAGAATTTAAATGATATTGAGGTAAACAGTCTTGGTTTACCAGCAAGAAGAGGCTGTTTGCTCTTCGTTGACTATTAAGTTTCAGTTTTATTTAGACATCCTGCAAGTCATGTGATTTAGGAGGACTGGCTCTTGCCCAATCCGAGGTGGGTGAACCATGGATGGTCTAAATCAGGGGTCCCAAAACCCTGGATCACAAACTGGTACCAGTCTGTGACCTGTTAGGAACTGGGCTGCACAGCAGGCTGTGAGTAACCAGGGAATGAGCATTACTGCCTAAGCTCCACCTCCTGTCAGTTCAGCAGTGGCACTGGATTTTCCTGTATAGGAGTGTGAAGCCTTTGGTGAACTGCACATGTGAGGGATCTAGACGGCATGATCCTGATGAGATAAAACCAGTCCCTGGTGCCAAAAAGGTTGGGGGCCGCTGGTCTAAATCAATTATGGCAATTCCTTTTCACTTGCCAGTGATTTGATAGGGGTAGTCACATGACCTGGTCCTGAGCAAAGAGATTTATAAAGACAGCTCTATTTGCTATACTTTTTGTTGACTTGCTTTTGAAAAAGACATGCCTGGGAAAAAAACATTCCTTTCCTCCCTATACCCTTGTTTGTTACTGTCTGGTTTGCTTGGTAAGAACATGACGCCTGGAGCTTGTGCAGTCATCACAGTCCTCATGCACATGAGCGGGAACTAGAAGATGATAGAAATATGAATATAGAGGGCAGCTATATTAGCTGTCCCTGAACCTTTCCAATTCTAATCTTGTGAAATAATAAACCTCCTTATTTTAAAGACATTTTTGTAGAGTTTTCTATTATATACAGCAAAAGCATTTTAATGCATTCACATATTGAACTCCAAATAATACTCTATGATTTTTTACTCTCTTCACAACTAAAATAACTGGATGGGTGTTTTACCTGTATTTTTTTCTGCTCTTTATTCTATAGTCCACCCTCCACTCAAACAGCTTCTGATTACACTCAAATGATCCTCAACTCCATATAATGGCCTACAAAGCTCTGCATGAACTGGCTCCTAGATACCTCCCTACTTACTCATTATATTCAGCTATACTGACCTCCTACCTGTCCCTTGAGGATGTCAGCGTTCTTCTTTCCTCATGTCCTTGTGTTTGTGTTCATTCTCATATATTTACATGGAAGCTCCTCAAAACTTTTGTAATGACATGAGAAGCTAATTTCTCTAGGCTCTTAGCTATATATTCTTCTTTCACCTCCGCAGCCCTATTTCCTCTACCTTGATTCTCTAGTCTTCTGCTCTTCCCTTTTTATGTTTAGCACTGCCTTTTGCCATCCAGTTCTGTCCTATTTCTCCACCATGATGTATGTGGCCTGGTGATTTATTTGGTGTTGGGCCTGTATAGTGTTGGATCTATAGTAGCTGAGCCCCCTTGCACATTTCTTCCTTCCTCTAGCTACGTGACCTAGGTGGCTTCTGTTTCAGTTGCTTCATGCCATGAAGTTGAACTTCCTACAGGGCAGCTTAGGGTTCCAAAGCTAGTATCTTGAGAGAGAGAAAGAGAGAGAGAGAGAGAGAGAGAGAGAGAGAGAGAGAGAGAGAGAGAGAGAGAGAGAGAGAGAGAGAGAGAGAGAGAGATCCAGGTGGAAGCAGTGCTACTTTTTCTGATTTAGTCTTAGAAGTCACACAGGGTCATTTCTGCCACATTCTATTGGTTAACCTGTCACAGGACCTGCTCAAATTTAAGAAGGGCATATGGATATCACCTCTTGATGAGAAAGGTGTCAAAGAATTTGTAAATGTATTTTTAAACTGCAATTTTCTTTGCAATGACAGGAAATAATTGCAAAAATTAAAGCATGTAGAAAAACAGGATGATTCTTAAATGCTAGTTTCTACTTTTTTAATATTTCAGAAGCTTTAAATATGCTTTTCGCTTCCCTGGACCATGCTCCTTTTGATTATGATCATCTGCCTGCCCTATTTTTTGTTGCGGAATCCGTTTTATACAGACTCTGTTGTGATGCATCCCTCCAGACATATTTATATTCAGTTGAACTAAAGCTAGCAAAGGTATGTTTTGAAAAACTTCTTAATGTTTTTAAATATTACACATAGTACATGTAACAAAATGACATCTGTTTTAGGATCAAAACAGAACATTTAGTTTTATTATAGAATATTCTTTTGTTTGATAGTTTAATCTCTAATTGTGAGTAGTATATTATTATTGCTTAATATCCAAATGGAGATCGTTTGAGAAAATATAATTTCACAAACTACATAAGAAAATAACATTTTGTTAAAAATCAATATACTTAACTGTTTTTCTAAGTGTATATAGAGTTTTTCTTTTTCTTTTAAGGATATTTAAATGCCACCTCCTTTGCCATTTAAAAATGGTGACAAACAACCTTAAATAACTGCCCAATTTGGGAAGCTTAATTGTTCTTCTAATATTCTATGCCACTTTAGATCTATAAAATGAGAAACTCCTTTCAAGTAACTCATATTTTACAAGGTCCTTGAGATCATATGGTTTCATTCTCAGTGACGATTATGGTTGACTGCTGCAAAATACATTATTAGTCAAATAAATTAATAGTTTTACTGCAAAGAAAGAAAAGAAAGGCTTAACAGTATTTCTTTAAGATGGTTCCATATGTATGTACATATAGATACACATATATATGAATGAATGAAACAAATGAAATTGATTATGCAGAAATGTTTTTAAATTAAATTTTGATTATTAACTGTTAGAAATCAAGCATGAGAGAATATTGGCGAATCAGTCCATCAGCTGAACGTTTTGGGGATACAGTCACATTTTGGGGATACAGTCACATTTTGGTCATTATAAATAACACCTAGATTCTCTCTGACACATTTGGGAGTAAAAGACTTGTGGAGACCAGGCAAAAGCAGATACAGAGAATACAGTTGAAATTGACCATGCAAAAACTGAGCTTTGTAGAGAATAGTCAAGATATTGCCAATAACTCTCTTGGGATGGTGAGATTATGATAATTTTTTCTTTTTTTCTGTATTTCCAAAACTGTCCACTAAAAATGCATTTTAAATTTACAATAAAAACAACATGTAAGTAAAAATAAAATATATAAAATATAAAAATGTAAATATACATATTTATGATGAAAAAAGAAATGTAATAAAAGTTTTGAAATGGAGTAGAAAAACCCAGGGCAAGTCTGGGTTTTATCTCCTTTCTTTCTCGTCTCCTTTCGTGACCTTTCTCCATTGCTTGCCTTCTGTATTTCTGCTAGCAAGAAAAATAGCTATAAAACATAGTTTTGTGCATTGAGCATATTGCTTATACTTTGCACATGCCATGTCATTTTATTGTTAAAAGATTTGTGTATTTTCTTATCTGCAAAGCCAGACCATTTGTACCAGTTCTTATAGCAGCTGCAAACACTTACACATCACTTAACTATGTGTCTTACACAAAGATAAAAGCTTTAAATGTATTAGACACATTAACCTACTTTTTTGAGGATTATTCATGATTTCACATATTCTGCATCTGTCACTGTGGCATAGAGAGTTTTAAGTGACTTCCCAAAAGTCTTAGTAGAGAGAATTTTGAAACGCATTGTGGCTCCGGAGTCCAGTGGACTCTCAGCTATGATGCTACACATCTACCTTGGTTCTCAGATTTAATAATTTTTACTTAATTTTTTTGATTGATACATATATAATATTTTAAATATTTGTGAGGTAAATGTTAGTGTTTGTCATATGACTAGCATGTATAATGATAAAGTTAGAATATTTAGGTATAATGATAAAGTTAGAATATTTGGAGTATACATCACCTTGAGTATTTATTATTTCTATGTATTTGTCATTTCAACTCTTCTCTAGTTACTTAAAAATATACAAAGCATTGTTGGTAAGTATAGTCACCCTATTCTGCTATCAAACATTGTATTTAATACTATATGTATCCATTGACCAACTTCTCTTCCCCTCCCACTCACCCACCCTTTTCAGTCTCTGATGTCTATAATATTATTCTATTGTCTTTGTCCATGAAATCAAATCTTTTAGCTTCCATATATGAGTGAGAACATGTGGCATTTGTATTTCTGTGCCTAGCTTATTTCACTTATCATAATGACTCCCAGTTCCATCCATATTGCTGCAAATGACATTTCATTATTTTTATGACAAAATTGTATTGTGTTGTGCATATACACCACATTTTCTTTATCTAATCACCCACTAATGGACATTTACATTAATTTTATGTCTTTAAACTTGTGAAGAGTGCTTCAATAAACATGAAAGTGCAGGTATTCCTATAATAAATACGCTGATTTGCTTTATCTTCCTAAGAGATAAATGCCTGCTAGTGAAATTGCTGGATAATATGGTAGTTCTATTTTTAGTTTCTTAGGAAATCTAAACACTGTTTTCCATAGTGGCTGCACTAATTTACACTCCAGCCAATAGCATATGAGTCCTCTTTTCTCTGCATCCTTGCCAGCATTTTTTTTCTTTTTAGTAATAGCCATTCTAACTGGAGTGAAATAATACTTCATTGTGGTTTTGACTTGCATTTTCCTGATGATTAGTGATTTGAACATTTTTCACCTATCTGTTGGCCTTTTGTATGTCTTCTTTTGATAATATCTATTTATGTCTTTTGCCTATTTTTAATATTATTTGGTTTTGTGTTTTTTGTTTCATTGGATTTTTTTTTTTACTATTGAGTTCCTTGTATATTAAAGATATTAGTCACTGTTTGAAAATATTCTTCGATTCTACAAGTTGTCTCTTCACTCTGTTTATTGTTTACTGTGCAGAGCTTTTTTGTTTAATATAGTCTCATTTGCTTACTTTTGTTTTCGTTGCCTGTGCTTTTGAGGTCTTAGTCATATAATCTTTGCCCAAGTTCTTTGTCGTGAAGGTATTTTCCTATGTCTTCTAGCAGTTTTATAGTTTCAGGTCTTATGTTTATGTCTTTAATCTATTTTGAGTTGAATTTTGAAATGGTGAGAGATTTGCAGTTTCACTCTTCTGCATATGGATGGATATCTTATTTTCCAAGCATCATTTATGAAAAGGGTGCTTTTTACCCAATGTTTGTTTTTGGTGGCTTTGTTGAAGATTGCTTAGCTATAAATATGTGAATTTATTTCTGGGTTCTCTATTCTGTTCCACTATTTGCTTTGTCTATTTGTATAACAATATCATGATTTTTTTAGTTACTATAGTCTTAGCATATGTTTTGAAGTCCAGTAGTGTGATGCCTCCAGCCTTGCTCTTTTTGCTCAGGATTACTCGGGTTACTTTGCCTCTTCTTTGGTTTCATAAAAAGTTTAGAATTGTTTTTCTATTTCTGTAAAAAGTGTCCTTGGTATTTTGATAGAAATTGCATTAAATATGTATTTTGCTTTGAGCAGTCTTTTCAACAGTATTAATTCTTCTGATCCATGAGTATAGAATGTCTATTTGTTTACACATTCTTCAATTTCTTTCAACAGTGTTTTGTAGTTTTCTTTGTAGAAATCTGTCGCCGTTTTTGTTAAAGTCTTTTTTCTATTATAAATGCAATAAATGAGATTGCCTTCTTGATTTCTTTTTATGTTATTTTATTATTGGTGTATAGAAATTCTATTAATTTTTATATGTTGATTTTGTATCTTGTAATTTTACTGAATTTATTTATCAGTTCTAAAGTCTTTTGCTAGAATCTTTTGTTTTTTTTCTAAATATAAAATTATATAATCTGCAAAAACAGACAATTTTACTTCTTTTCTTTTCTTTCTTTCTTTTTTTTTTTTTTTTTTTTTTTTTTTGAGATGGAGTTTTACTCTGCCTCTCAGGCTGGAGTACAGTGGTACAATTTTGGCTCATTGCAACCTCTACCTCCAGTGCTTACGCAGTTCTCCTGCCTCAGCCTCTCGAGAGTTGCTGTGTCACCACGCTCGGCTACTTCTTTTCCAATTTGGATGCCTTTTACCTCTTTCTCTTGCCTGATTGCTTTGGCTGGGACTTCTATTACTATGTGGCATAAGAGTGGTTAAAATGGGCATTCTCGTCTTGTTCTAGTTATTAAAGGAAAGGCTTTCAACTTTTCCCTATTCAGTATGATGTTAGCTGTGGGTTCGTCATATATGGTCTTTATTATTTTGAGGCATGTTCCTTCTGTGCATAGTTTGGAGACTTTTTATCATGAAGGGATGTTGAACTTTATGAAATGCTTTTTCTGCATCTGAAATGATCATATGGTTTTTGTCCTTCCTTCTGTTGTGTTAGATCACATTTATTGATTTGCATATGTTGAATCATTTTTGAATCCCTGGTATAAATCCAACTTGATGATGTTGTATTATCTTTTTGGTGTGCTGTTGAATTCAGTTTGCTAGTAGTTCGTTGAGGATTTTTTAGTGTATGTGCATTAGGTATATTAGCTTATAGTTTTTTCTGTTGTTGTACCTTTTCTGGTTTTGGTATTAGAGTAACACTGGCCTTGGGAAATATGTTGGGGAGATTTCCCTCCCCTTTAACTTTTGGGAAGAGTTTGAGGAAGGTTGGTATTAGTTTTTACTTATCTATTTGGTGAAATTCAGCAGTGAATCCATCTAGTACTGGACTTTTCTATTTTTGGGTCATCTTTTTATTAGTGATTCAGTCTTGCTACTCATTATTGGTATGTTCAGGTTCTGTATTTCTTTCTGAGTCAATCTTGGTAGGTTGTGTGCTTTCAGGAATTTATCCATCTCCTCTAGTTTTCCTGTTCGTTAGTGTATAGTTGTTTACAATAGTCTCTGATGATCTTTTCTACTTCTGTGGTATTAGTTGTAATGTCCCTTTTTTCACTTCTGGTTTTGTTTGATTGGGCCTTCTCGCTTCTTTCCTTGGTCAATTTAGCTAGTGGTTGATCAATTTTATCTTTAAAAAAGCGTTCATTTTGTTGATCTTTTTTGTATTGCTTTTCTAGTCTCAATGTTTTTTATTTCTTCTTTGATCTTTATTATTTATCACTTTCTGCTAGTTTTGGGTTTGGTTTGTTCTTGCTTTACTGGTTCCTTGAAGTGCAT